GCGCAGCCCGCACGACCGGCCCCGGGGGTGGGTGACGGGTCGGTGGGGGCCGCCGTGAGCCCTGCCCGACCCCCCCACTTCCCCCCACGGACACCGTGCCCCCGTCTCCTGCTGTCGGGGACGGCTGGCGATGCTCCAACAGCCTGACTGTTCATCCCATCGAGGGGCTGCGCTGGAGCAAACCCACAGCAACAGCTTTTTTCCTCACTCCGTTCCCCATCCTTTGGGTCTGGCTGGAAGAAAAACCGGATTTCGCACTCCCTAAAAGCCATATGTACCCTACACGAGTCACAACTGTTGTTTGCCGGTAGATCTAAGGGTTGGCGTGCCCAGAAGCTTGTTCCTCTCTTTCCTAGTGGTATTAACGATATTAATTGACATAAAAGCTGCACAAACACTGCCTTGCTGATGTACCAGAGCCACCCCTGGGACCCGTGCGTTCATCGGTCACCTAAATCAGAAGGCCGAGGACAGAGCAGGCATTGATTTCATTGCATAATTCCCTCGGCCCCTCCAGCTCTCCTGCCTCCCCATTCCCACTCCCACTCCCACTCCTGCTATTTCCTTTGACTGCAGCCGTATCGCAGGCCTTGGGGAGGGAGCAATTAATGGCATCAGAAACGTACCTCCCTTCCAGATGGCCAGCCTAGCTTTAACACACATTTCTCCCTTTTTTCTTCTCGGCTCACAGAAAATGAGTGCGGATCCAAACCCCAATCCCAGCTTGTGGGAAATAATTTAATTTCCGAAATTTAAAGACAATCTCTGCAGATTAAAATGATGGAACAGCCATCAGGAAATAAAGTGAAAAAGGGAGGGGGAACTGGCCCATCTTATCTGTTTCACCCTTGCCCAAGGTTGCACCAGGGAAAAATTTGTCTTAAAAGGAAAACAAAAAAAAGAATACATTTTCTTGGATAATAAGTCGGTCATCAGTTAGGCAGTGGCTGCTGCTCTTAGGGATTGGAGGTCACTTTTGGAAGTGACAAAAGGGGATTTGCCCCAGTAGAGGCTCTCTGGGGCCATGGCTAAATCCTGGCGGAGTGGAGCCCCTTGAATGATGCCAGCAGTTGCCCTGAGCTCATGTGAATGTGCAAATCATCTCTCTACATGGCCACTGGGCTGAGGGAGAACCATCCGAGGCACCACTGGGCGCAAGTCCAGTGTCACCCACATAAACCCCCCCCCCGGACTCAGATGGCCCCGTGGCTGCTGCTCCCCCTGAGTCAACACGGAGCTGTCTGCTCATGAGTCCTACCAACTGTTTGTAGCAATGATTTTCACTTTTCACACCGAACTGCAGACCCCCTAAGAATTTTCCCACTGAGAGCCCATGGAAAATACATTTTAATCCACAGTAAGCTTTCACAACCTGCTTAGAAATGGGCTGAGAGCCCCAGGCAGACATCCCATTGCCAACAGTGTGATCAAGTTCTGGCTGTCAGTTAGACAAGGACTGGATGAAAAGAGGGACAGAGAGAAGGAAAAACATCCCTGCTTGTGTCCCAGAGCTGCTTTGCCCTTGGATGCCGGGCAGGTTTGAGCCTTGGGTCAGTTCAGAGCAGACTTTTGACGTGACTGGTCCTAGGAGCTTTGCTCAGGCCAGATTTCTATCTAAACATTCACTAACAGTAAGAGACTTGAAGTCAGGACCGATTTTTTTCCAGCTGGGTTAGATGGGTCAGCTACCATGTAGCCTCCCTGTCTGAGAAACTAAGAGGATACAGCTCCTGATACACAGAAATGCTTGGCCAAAGCAGCTGGGTGAAAATTAGCACATGACTACTGGCAGCAGCTGGGACCCGGTCACTCATGGCAGGGATGCTCACTCACCATGGACGTGCCCCACAGAGAGGGACCATGAGGTTGACCTTTGCAGCCTCTTGCAGCTCAGAGTGGTTGGGCAACTGGTTTTGTAGGGGTGGAGCTAAAGGCAAAGGAGGTCTCCAGCAAGGTCTTGCAGCTGCTGGCAGCTCTCCTATCCCCTTAGCTCTTTGGCCCCCTCTCTTTCCAGAAAGGCCAGTGTCCCATCTGGAGATAGAGGAGAGAGGGAAATCAAGGGGTGCAGAGGACTGGTGATCGAGCCCATGGCGATGCTTCAAGGTGGTTGATTTCCCATTTGCTTTTCTTTGGGCAGCTGAACTGTTCCTTATCCCTGAAATATATTCAAGTAAGAATGACTCATCCTTCCTCCCAGGACTCTAACCTGCAGTAATGAGATGTAAATCCTTGCCTGACCTATTATATTAGCTTATGCTATATCACACATCTCCGTGGATTAGACGGGAGGGAGATGAAACGTCCCCCAGTAGCAGCCAGCCTCAGACAAGCCAGTGGAAGTTAAGAGGATCCTCTCTCAGCATTGACACCTGATTTGAATAGGATGCAAGTAGTTCAGTTTCCTCTGCCCTGGTGAGAAGGATCATTTCAGCTCTTCTTTCCAGGTAACAGGAGAACTGGCTTCAAAGCCACACCTGGAAGTGCTTCCCTCAACCAGAGGGATGCTCCAGAGACCCCCGAAGGGGACCAGAAGTGGTGAGGTTTTCCTGGAGTGTCTGGTTCTTAGAGTTGTCCTATAGATTGTACATAGGAGGAGAAGGGTCTGTGACCTTGAGTTGCAATGCAGTAGCCATAAGGACGTCAAAGAGCGTGACCTGATCCTTGTCAGCCTGAAATCCAGGGGAACACAAAGGTTTAAACCTTTGAAGGCCCTGAGTAGGTGAGTTAATCCTGGAAAGACGTGTATGTGTGTGTGTACTGGAGACGTGACAAGGGAGGAAATGAGAGGCGTTTCTAAACAAAGCAGGCAGCGTCTCTGCTGGGATAAGTCAGGCTTACACTTGGCAGTTGATTGTCACTTCTTGTGATGGGGACAGGCACTGCAAACACAGGGACCTCCACACTCAGCTCTGACTCAGAGGAGCAGAGTTACCTTTGCTATTCCCACCTGTGGATGGGGATGTCCCAGCGGGATGGGGACAGGGGTACCCTGCTGTGCCTATCGCTGCCACCCAGCCAGAGCAGCCACCTGTCCCAGACATGGGGACAAGGCACAGTGACATCCACCCTGTGATGGTGGCTTCTGGAACGGACCCAGATGCTGGGCAGAGCTATGGCCAGTGGTGGGGTGGCTCTTGCCTTGGGGACAGTGGGGGACACCTGCACTCTTTCTCTGAGGTCTGTGAGAGCAAAAAAGCAATAGAGCGACCACTGATTAAACCTCAACACTAATTAATTTTTTTTTTTTTTTTTTTTTTTTTTTTCATAGAGCAGCCGCTGAAAGTATGTTGTGCATCCTCACCAGCACAATCAGCTTCTCTGTGTAAACTACTTAGCTGTAAGAGAGTAACTATGACTCCGTGACAGCTACTAAGAAGTTATTAAGAAAATGCTGAGGCACTGAAGCACTGAGATCTGTGGGGAGGGAATGCAGAGGGACCTCAGGGGAACAGCCTGGCCAGGGTCCTGACACTGTTATGGACCACTGCAAGCTTCAGCTGTCAAAAGTTCAGGAGAAAATATCCCAAGGTCGAGCATAACATCCCCTCAAAGGGCAGTGGGTTCCCTTCTGCCCAGCACTCACTGAGGTAAAAGTGCCACCATGCCATTAACATAGGGAATAAAAAAGTTTAGGGTAAGGCTGTTGTAAATTATCAAATAAAATTACTTCCTTTCATGTTACTTGAACGTAATTAAATAAAGCTAAATGTGTCTGGAGTTTGTCTTGGCCAAAGAAGATGAAATGCAACGCAGCAGCCAGCTCTGTATGGAAATGAAATCAAAGCTGCCTTTTCATGACCCGGGGAGGCCATTTCAATGTACTTCCTACTCCTATAGAACCAAGCCTTTAAGTTCTGAAAATCTGTCATCATCACCTAGGGATGAAGAAATCCCAAAGGGGGGTGGGGGGTGTTATTACTGTTCTTATTTGATATTAAGCCTTAATTATACTCAGAGCAAGCTATATATCACATAGGCTGTATGTCACGTGTTGAGTCCTGTAATGAACTTTTACTATTTGGAAAAATCTTGTGTTTAATGGCATTCCAAGCTCTCGTGCATCCCTGTGCCTGAAGAGCAGTCCTCAGCGGGGATGTCACTGCCTCTGCTTGTGGCAGGGCAGGCTGAGCGTGAGAGGGGGCATGAAGGAAGAAGTTGCAATGTCCTTTACAAGGTCGTGCCCATCTATTCTCTTTCGTAGTATTAACTAAAAAGTTTTATAACGCTAGTATTCTTTTGATAGTGAATGCCCTATACTGTTCTGTGTGATATAGTTCCCTTAAATCCCTGTTGTGGGTATGCACACATGTATATACAGACATGTATGTGCACTACAAATTATTCTGTTCAGGTCTCCGCAAGATGAAGACCATGAGAGCCCTCGCTGCCCAGGGAAGTTTAGTGCCAGCCCACAGAAAGGATCAGGCCCTCCCCATTTATTTCTAGGCAGGAGGAGATGTGGCAGCCAGGTACCCTGACAAACCCAACACCTCTGGCTGGCTGTTCCCCTCCTCACCTTGGGGTCACCTGGCAGAGCATCGCCTGAGAGACCCTGGGTGGAACCTGGGAAGGGAAACCAGGAGGGTGATGCTGCTGAGATGTTCCGTCAATTCCCTCTGGACCCCCTTGTCTCATCACAGTGGCTGGCTGAGCACGGGGCTGCACAGATTCAGAATTTCTGAGCCGAGGATTTCGGGGGGTTTGGGGTGGGATTGGTCCTGTCAGAGCTGTGTGCAGGGGACATACTGCCTCTGCCCCAAGGGATGGGGGGGGGGTCTGGGGATGTTATCAGAAGATGAGGGTAACCAGACAGGGGAGCAGGTCAGAGCACAGATGGGGGCAGTTGTAATCCCTGCCAGCACATGTGCTGGGAGGAGAGATGCTGTTGGGGGGTGAGGAAGAAGAAGGAGGTGGTTGGGGGTGCGGGGGGGCTCCCAAGGCAGAGTCTGCACCCAAGCGGTGACACAAATATACACGGACAGACACACAGAGCATGTAAACAGGCACATGGGGAGACCATGTGCTGCTTCGCTGCCAGTGGTGGAAAGCAAGCCCGGAGCAAAGGCACACGCCAGCCCAAACGCACACACGGTCACACACACGCACAGTTTTCCCACGGGGGATCTTTCCAGCCTTGCCTTCATTTCCTGGAGTGCTCAGAAGGAAAAGCCAGAGAGTGGAGCTGGAGAGGTGAACGACATCCGAACGGTGACGGGAATGGCTTTGTACATCACGCTAAAAATAGTCCTCGTGATAAAGTCAGTCGCGGAGGGGGAGGAGGTGCAGGCAGTGCACAGATGCTGGCGAGGACTGCCAGGGGTTTGGAAACCTGCACAGCAAGGACGGAGCAGAAGGAGCCTTGTCGGGCCGTAATTAGCACTGGTAACTTGCTCCAAGCAGCACTGAGGGAATTAAGCAGTGAGCAGCTTGGGAGGGGGCCTGCCCGGGCACATTACACCCCCTTCTCTTGGGATGGATGCTTTGCAACCCTGAGAAATGGGAAGCAGCGAGTGACTGCTGCAGCTGGAATTGTGCTGAGAACAGATGGGTGCTCTGGTTTCTTTTGAAGTGAGTCTGGGTTTTTTGTTTGTTTAGGGAAGAGGAAGGCTCGCTGCATCTCTGGGGCTCTCAGGATAAGGGGGAGAAGGCAGGCAAGGGCTGGGACAAGGGGAAGGTGCTCAGGAAGAGCCAAAGCTAAAGGAAAGAGCTGTGATGAAGAAGGGAGAGGTATCTGCAGGGAGCAGAGGGCAGCGGGACAGGGACAGGCTGCACCCAGAGGCAGCAAGCGCCGGCGCTGAAAGAGATGCTCTGGCCTGGGTGACCCCAGGGAATCCAGCGTGGGGGGAGGGCACATGGAGAAGCCAGCAAGGTGATGGATAGGGAAGGAAAAGCAAAGCCCGTGTGACTTCAGAGATTGTCCTTTCGCTTCCTGCAGCTTCTGAGCACCAGGTCAGTGCTGGTCTGGCTGGTGCCCGCCAGCAGGTACCCTGAGCCGGCTGGATGCTGAGCTCCAGGCCAAGCTGGGCTCCTGAGGAGAGAGGCATGAAGGCTGCCAGAAGCAGAGGCTTTTTAAACCCTGCATCTCTGTTCTCCTTCCACGCCATGTGGCAAAGGTCTAGGGGGAGAGGCAAGGTCGGTTTGTGCCGTTGCATGGCCTCTCCAGTGTTCGGCGGCGTTGGCCTCGCAGGCAGCAGGATAACTCCCTGCCTGCTCTTGCCACTGATGATTCACGCTGCGAACTTGAGGCAGGATGGGAGCTGACACAACTGGGCCCAGTGCCGATCTCCTCATCGCCAATGGGAGGAGGAGGAGGAGGAGGAGAAGGAGGAGGGGGACATGTGAGCCAGCCCCTGAGAGCCACGGTAGCCCCTGGGTGTCACACAGGAGCCCGTAGCCTGTCCCCTCTGCCCACGCTGGCGCAGTGGCTGCTGATGTGCTTGCCAGTGATGGAAACAGCCCCCGAATCCCTGGGGAGAAATCCCCTGGTGGGATACAGGCTGTCCTTGGCTGTGCATCACGAGGCAGCAGCCCAAAGCAGGGAGGGGGAACCCCGAGACAGGAGTCAGGAGCAAACAGCTGTATGGGGGAAACTGAGGCAGGGACACTGGTAGCAGGAGGGGCTTGGCAGTGTTAAGCTCTGCTCTTTGCAGTAAAGAATGGGATTTCTTACAGCTGTCCTCCCTCAGCATCCGCCAACTACATCCCAGAGGATGCTGAGGATGTTGGTGTGGCATCAAACACCCCCAAAGCCTCACTCCTGCCCATGGGACTGGTCACAGTCCCAGATGTCGGCAGCACGGTGCCATTTAGAGGAAAACCAAAGGTCTAAACGAGTTTCAAGTTAGGTTTTCTGCTCTTTTTTTGATGGCTGGCAGGGGTCTGTCAGCCAGCGGTAGCCCAGGGAGAGGGGACCAGTTGGGATGCGAAACCTCCTCCCTGCTCACTGATGTCTATCATCATACGAAGGCGCTGGGTATTTTTTGCCATTTCAAAAGCTGTGTTTCTTGCAGGCTTTGCCTGTAAATGACTTTAATCTTCATAAGCCCAAAAAGTAAAGCTGCTTATACGGCTGGGGCCTGCCGGAGCACTAGAAGGAATGGGGAGGGGGATGTGGACAAGAGAATGAGGGGTTAGTCCAGGGGAAATGAAATCCTATGGTGGATCAAGCTCCATCACATCCCTGTCCTGTCCCCTCCAGCCACTGGACACCCTGAGGTCTCAGGAGAAGAGGGTTGGAGCATTCAGCTTCTGTAGCTATTGCCACCTCCCCTCCGCACCAAAGGGCTCTTGAAGGCTGTGTCAGTCCATCCTCCATCCCACCTAGAGCTGAGTTGTGCCTGCTCTGTCTCAGAGCCCACCCACTTTTTCCTTCAACCCCCCAAGAGGAGTCTCAGTCCCAATCCTGGCCCAAAATAGACCCCAAGCTCCCGACTCCAGCTTGCGAACCAGGCAGCCGGTAAAGCCGATGCCCTGCTCATCATTTAACGCTGAATAATTCTCCATGGATGAAGGGAACTATTTTAAACCTGCCAAGCCCTGTGTGCTAGACATCATCTCCACTCAACACTCTTCAACACAGCGGGAACCCTGTGGGGACACTTGCTTTGGGGTTGGGGGTCCAGGACATGGCAGGGGGGGGTCCTGTCTTTATCCCCTTGGTTGAGTCAAGCAGTGCAAGGAACAAGGTTCACAGCTCAGCCTCTAGACCTTCCCCTGCCTGGTCCAAGCATTTTCAAGGGTGGAAGATAAAGCCTGACTTAAAGGGAAGCTTTGCCATCACTTGGCAGCTTCATCACTGTCACAACCTCACCAGTTCTTATGGGCAGGATGGAGACAAGTGATGCCCAAGTGAGGCTCATCCCAGCCACATGTGGACCCGAAGCAGAACTGGGGGGACCGTCCCTATCTTGTACTCTGCCAGGGGATCCCAGGACCCCCAGGGTGCTGTGTTCCCCCCAGGGCTGCATCCCATGGGAGCAGAGACAGAGGGGCGGTGAGGCGGGATGTGCCGCGTCCGTATGGAATGGTTTTTTTATTACAGTTTTAATCTCACAGTCGGTAGCATTACATGAGAATAAAGCACTGGACAGGACTGGAAAAAAAGGCCTCTGGAGACAGCATGCAAACATTGCAACGAGTTTAAAGCAAAACAACCCAAAAAAAAGCGTCTTGCGGGGACGCGGCCGCACTCTCCCGACCAGGCAGCGAGTCCAGCGTCTCCCCTTTAACCATCACTTCTGTCGTTGGGGTTTCCTTTTCGTGTGTCCGTTTCATTGGCTTATTTATTTTATTATTATTCTTCTTTTATTAACCTTCTTCTCTCTCTTTTTTTTTTTCTTCTTTTACTTACATTAAAAAATAAGATTCGTACTTTAGTAAAATGCCCAGCACGTAGCTGGGTCCTGCTTGAAATAATAAAAAACAACAAAAAAACAACAAAATAAACCCCAAAACTGAGAAAACAAAAAAAGAACACCACCCAAAAATCAAAAAAAAACCCAAAATAGCCTGGGAGACAAAAAAAACCCAAAAACAACCAAAACCTGAAAAAAAAAAAAAAAAAAAAAAAAAAAAAAAAAAAAC